CCCGCTGTAATGGCCCATTTATTACTGTAAAGACAGATTTACACAGCCATGAAAGAGCCGCTCTGTAAGCCGAGCTACAAAGAAGAAAAGAGGTTACTGGACTTAAAATGTCATCCTCTGTTCACTGTGTACTGCAGATACATATTCATAAAGCCATTTTCAGTTCTTCTTCTCATGAAAAGTTCCTTTAATTAAATATTTTGACAGTATTGCCGAATTTGGAGCAGGAGCAAAGAGGCCTGCACCAACTTGCTGTAAAGCAGACAGCCACTGAGGTAAAACTCCTGTTTCAAAACGCCTCAGTATTTACCCTAATGCTTCTCATTCTTGATGTAAACCAGGAGCTGAGCCAGTCTGGCCTCCCACACTCAGGTGGTTTCAGGAAACTACTGTAGCTGCTCTACCTTGTCACGTCAAGTCAAATGTAAGCTCAGTGCGTGGACATATTCTCCTGCAGACAGAGCAGCAGTTCCAGTATAAACCCTGCTTATCAGGAGGCTCATTATAACTGAAATTCAAATGGCTTCATCAGATAATGATGCAGTATTTCCAACATACATCCATCAGCCGCGCACGACAGCAGAGACATTTAGGGGAAACTTGTGTTACTCAATGCAACTGGAGCCGTTTCAGCTTTGGTAAAGAATTAGTTTATCATCATTTGTGCCTCACGGCACCCCAAGTTGCCCAAACAAGAGGAGACCCAGTTTGCTGAAAAAAAATAAAAAACCTTGTGAGTCTGACCCTTGGCTCACCCCAATCCCCACCTTCACTCTGTTCTCGGCCCATAAAAAAAAAAGCGAGGCTGACTGGTGTTCAGCTTGGTGCCTTGGGGACTGATGGCGGCTGCGCAGCAGCCATGAGGGAAGCACACTATCAGTCCTGTGATAGCCGTATGAGATTCCACATGCTCTGATGAGTAATTCCTCCCTCCCCTCTCCATCACCATGTGGTTCGTGGCCCTGAGTCATCGTCCACACTTTCCCTCATTCCCTCTCCCCTTGTCTGTGTCTCTCTCTCTCTCTCTCTCTCTCTCTCTCTCTCTCTCTCTCTCTCTCTCTCTCTCTTTCCCTCGATGTGAAGAGGACTCTTCCTTCCTTCAGCAGCAGCCGTCCCACAGGGAAACTCAACAGAATAGCTTCCCTATGATGACTCATTCACCAACATTGAGAGCTCCACACCACCCCGCTCTCGAGCCATGACAGCCCACCACGCCACACCCAGGCCTGGATCCCAGTCCTCCATAGCCTGCTTGCCTCCATTTCTGTCTTTCTATCTGTGCTGTCTGCATGTCTTCTTGCTCGTCTTCCTGTCTGCCTGGTTGCCATTTTCTACATCTCTCTGTCTTGTCAAGATGTTTCATGTTTACCTGTCTTTATACTCTCATCTGCCTGCCTGTATTTCTCATCAGCCTATACCGTATTATCTTCATACTCTGAAATAGTTTTGGGCTGGCTTCACTGCTTGCCAGCCGTCTTGTTTGTCTATCTACCTGCCTGTCTTTCAGTCTGTCCCCTGATTCCCCATCGCAATGTCAAAACACCGAAGGACACGGAGCGTTCACTTCCCCATCTGTATATTAAACTATAAACACTTAAGCAGAAATATAAGGACAACATAATTCAAGTCTGCTAAAGAAAAACACTGGTATTGTTGGTAAAGAGATGCTTTTCATTATGCCTGTGCAACTCTCAGATAGAGTTGTTCACACTTTCAACTTATCTGCACAAGCGTGTTGAGAAACTTTTGACGAAGGTTACTGTTCGATTTCAGCAACTCCCTCGAGACTGTATCCTTCCTTTCATGTGCTCTGCAATTCAATAAGCGCTGTGCTTTCTCCGGTTGGTTTAACCCAGGTTAAAATCCCTCTTCGTATCCTCTGTGACCCTTTCATATACGCTGAACTGTGCCCTGGCTCTGCAGTGCGACGAGTTGCTCATGTGAATCCCCCGTACGCCGCTCAGAGATCCTCTACATGTTGCAACAGGAGATTTGTTGACCATTGCAAGAGCAATAAGGATTTTTAGGGGCATTATGACTGGGTTAATAAAACACAGCTGCCCCTAAAAGTCCCTCACTTTTCTTGCTGCCTTTTCTTTCTCTCTCCCTCTCTCCCTCCCGAGCTTAATCTCTCTGTCTCATTCCAAACTTTCGAGATCAAACTACAACATTTGCTGGCTCCTAGAAATGTGATTTGGTGCACGGCTTTTGGTATTTGTGACTACAGAAACGCAACAACCTGGAGCGACCACAGTGTCTGAAATTTGACCTTTAAAGGCGCAGGGGGGGGGAAACTCGGTTGTATATTTCACATAAAGTGAGCTCGCTTTCCACTATTTATGAATTGTATATTTATAATGGCAACATTTTATGAGGATTTGCAGTGACGCTTTTGAAGGGGGTTGAATGAGTTCAGAGCAGAATTTCCGAGAAGGAGTGCACCACGTGTTCATTAGAAGTTCAGCTTTCACAGAAAGGTAAACACAATCTGAGGCCTTCTTTTTTTTTTTCATGCACAGTTTTCTATACGATGCCCACAATAAAACACACATGCACTGGTGGCTCGTGAACTAACTGAACCCAGCTGAACCCGGAGCAGGAAACAACCTGGGAATTGTAGGAAAAGTCTATTTAAAGTTAGTCTGCAACCCTGCTAGCAAATGGTGTGAGGAGAGAATATGAGATAGCCGTGGTGGGAAGAAAAAACAAAAAAAAACACAATGTAAGCAACACTGTGTAGCAAGTGGTGAGATGAGTCCGATTGGGCCTTTTAAACAATGTGAAATGCCACTGACAGAGGCTTGGCAGGCAGTAGCAGCCAGCACTGTTTAATATCACAATTTTAATCAGCACACTTGGTGACTATCCCAGAGCTCCCCATAGCCATGCTGCTTATTCAAACCAGGCTCATTCCACCAAGCCTCCCTTACTAGGCCCTCAGCTCTCATACTCGCACTGGCTTGTGCTTCTCCTGCAGCATATATGGAGAGCTCTTGGCTGGAGAGGTTTTATCTGCTTTCTGTTGATGTGTCATTGCACTTTAGTGGGCTACGTTGGAGGGAATCAGTGATGATAGCTGAGAGCTATCTCAACCAATCTGAGGTGGACTAGGCGCATTTAACGTATTCTCTGTATTTAATTTGAAATATCTTACAATCATCCGACAACAGGGACATTGTTAATTAGGATTAGGGTGCAACCTACAATCAAACGGAATCTAATTAGAGCTTCAAGTGTCAACTTTCCTTTAACTTCAGTCCACAGCAGTGTACTAATAAGCAATAGCAGGCATGCACAAACAAATGTGCTGCCACCCATGTGTTATACACGGCCTGCAAATAACTCATGACCGAGTATGAAGAGTTTAATAAATAAAACTGACAGAGAAATCGGCGATCCCACCTATTGTACTGTCAGGAGGGGGAGTCGTTTTCATTTACTGTTTTAGGTGTGTTTAATAATTGCAGGGCTCTTGTGTTTTTGAAATAAAAATCCCATGCTTCAGCGAATGTCTTACCTATGTGTCACTTGCAGCACGGAGATGCCACCACAGCTCTCCACTCTATTAATTACATAAAGCATCTAGTGTCAGGATGCTAAATTCATTAGTGGGGTATTTACGGCATGCTAGGGTCAGGACAGATATAGAAACAGGCCTCTAAAACAACTTCTTCCCCTACTTGACACACTTGTTTGACATAATAGAGTGTGGCACTTTTGTGATTTTTTTGTTTTGTTTTTGGACAACTCTGCCGCTTTCTATTTGTTTATTTAGGTAAGTTGATGCAGAGCTTGAGCTGCAAGCTTCCACAAATACGCTCACATTTTTCGACTTGACTTCTCATCTGCATTCAATAGCGGCATGAGTAACTCTATAAGGCTGCAAATTTAAATTCTTTTCATGCGTCGTCTTTGAAGCGGGATGAATCCAGCAAAAATAACTGGAAGGTTAACTTTCTACTTTTTTTTTTCTTCCTAATTTGGCCTACTTCTGATTAAGCTGAACAGGGAAAAAAATGGAAAAAATGAATTTGTTTAAAAAAAAAAAAAAAAAAAAAACAGTTATCGAGAACTGTACAGCGGAATGAGGCCAACTGTAAAAAAAAAAAAAAAAAAAAAGGAGGGAGGGGGGAAATAAAAAACAAGGCTACTTTTTGTTTTCCAAGAGAAATGTCCATGAAAGTTGTTCATCTTTGTATTTGTCAGAAAACAACCTCTGCTCTGGTTCTCTGTCACACTTTAGAAGCACTTTTCTCATTCAAGGCTGCATATGAAAAGTTTGACTCATTTTTTTGTTTTTTAAGGGGTGATGTTCACTTTTTAGATATTTGAGCTATTTAACGGTTAATTTTACATTAATTTCATGTTTTCATTTTGTTTGAGCCCTTGCAGTTATTTAATGCTTGATGTCTGAGGTTTAGCTTGCACATTAAAAATTAATTTGTGTAACGCATGCAGTTTAAATTTTGTGGTATTTAATAATGACTTTATGGTGGCCGTATAGTAGTGCATATTGTGTTTAATATGCAAGGTTTCACTGCAAAAACTATTACAGCCGGTCTGTCATATTAAATTGTGTTTTTACTGGCATTATAGAGTGTTTTAGTGAGACTTTATCCCCTCATATATCACTGTGCTTTGAAAAAAAAAATGCTGAATTCTTCCCATGTGCTCCCTTTTTTTTTTTTTTTTTTCTTTTCTTTAAGGGATAAAAACGTAGCAGAAGTGTATTGTCTACGACTTGGGGGGAGGGAGGGAGGGGGAGGGGGGGTCACATGAGCCAGAAACTGGGACTTTGTAGGCCAGTTGAATGAATTGAGGACTCACCTTGCCCGCAAAGACCCAGCCTCTGACACACACCGTCATCATCCTCTTCATCAGTCCCACCACCGGGGGACTGCATGAGGAGGAAACTCCAAAGGTTTCCAATCTATGGATTCTAGATATCTCTTCAGAGCAGGTAATGTGGAATCTATAATCTGTAACCGATTCATACATACCTATTGATCTGCTGCCTGTCAGTGTATGGAGAACCTGGAGTTACCTGCATACCGGGCAGGTGTCAGCATCCCGTTGCCATATGGAGACTTCAAAAAGAAAGGCGGGGGGGAAGGACAAAACGCCGACTGTCTGGTCGCTCGTCTGGCTGCCTGGAGAGGAGACCGCGTCTGCAAGCGAAGTTAAACTTCACCGTCCATCTGCCGCCAGCAGCAGCAGCACCACCACCACCGCCGCCCAACTCATATGTGATTACTTGGCGCTGCTCGCATCCCAAATTGAGCAAGATTATCCTTTTGAGGGGGTGCCGGGTCGGGGGTGAACGAATTGTCTTTCGGAATAAGTCGGACAGTCCCGTCCCGTCCCGTCCCTCCCTTCCCACCCCCTCACCCCCCCACCCCGGCCCATCTTTTCCCGTCTGTTAATGGAGAGAGAAAAACGTGCAGACGCAACAGTGTCGCGCCTTGTGCCAGTCTCCCACCTCCTGCCCTCCCTTCCAAGAAAAAGAAAGAAAAGAATAAGCTTCTGCGTTTCCCACCGAGAGATTCCCCCCCAGTGAGCACCCAGCACCCGGCCAGTCACCTAATATCCATTCTGCAAACAGGGAGAGCGGGAGTGAAAAAGCAGCCTGCTGCTGCCATGCTGCAGCCGCGATATTATGAGCAGGATATTCCCAAACAGCTGGAAGGAGCTGATATATGGTGCTGCGCCCTCGTGTTGGGCCCTCCCCAAAATGGACCGGTACTAAGTGGTAACCTGGTTATTTTCAGCGCGTCACTGGCTCGTCTCCAATTTTAGATTTCCGTCGGGGGCACAGCAAAGTGGCCCCAGTATTTTCAATTAGACTCAGAGAGGACTTGAAAACGATTACACAGAGTAATGTCCGAGCATGTGTGTTTCCCTCTTAACTGCACACATTCCTGCGGTGTGTTGACTCGCCCGTCCACATGCCCGCGCCGCGCTCGGCTGCGTCCTCCGGCGGTTCCGAGGCGGCGCGTCTGCGGCTCTCTCAAGGTGTTCCCCTGTTTTGTCGATGCTGTGCGGGAGGCTTAATACGTCTCAGGTTCATCACACCTCTCCAGTTATCTGCCTGACCAGCAACATGTTAGTGCACTGCGACCCCTGGTGGCCGCGACGCGCCACGACGTTCCCTCACATCCGAGTGTCAAATCCAACCTTTATTGTTTTACTCGGAGCAGCGGTGGCATCACGTGTCTCCGCACATCAGGCGCTAATTACAGCGTAACAGCTGGATCCTTTCGGACAAATTTAACCCATTACCTTATTGAAACATTTCTGTTAAGTCAGCAGGGTTACTTTATGACTTTTGTGTTGTGTTCTGTCTGGATTAATTTCTACACATCCACACCTTTTTTATATGCTGAATCTATACATGTTTACAAATACTTACGTACAACTGCACCTTTTATGTACTTTTTGACTTTACGCCATTACATTTCCGCATATGTTCAGCAATGTACCACATCCACAAGTGCCACATCAGTTACTTTACTGTTTTTATAGTGATCTGTATACACCAAATAAACTGACCTTACATCAATAAGCTAGATCACTGTTTTCATAAACTACAATTACTTGTACATATTATTTTTCTACTATATTTGTATATTTTATATTTACACATTTCTTGCCATACTTCCATAAAAATAGTCAGTTCTGTGAATGCACTGACAGGATTGCAGTTTAATGTCTTTGTACACTGTACAATGAGCAAATGTTGTTTTGTTGTGCGTTTTTGATGTTATTTCTGTTATACTGTGTCATTTTATTTATGTTGTGTTATCTTAACGACCATTTATATTCTATATTGTTATGCTAGCTTGTTACTGTTTTATTCTCTTCTATTTAGCCATTTTAAATATTTTATTCTCATCTTTTCTGATATGTACTGTTTTATTCTGTTCTGTTTACACATCTGTCCTCTTCTAAAATTTCGTGTTACTATTTCATTCTGCACTGTAAAAAAAAAAAGAGCATATTTAACATTTTAACTGTAATTGTTTTTTAAACCATTTTACAATTTATTTTACATATTTTCTCTGTTCTTATAATGACTAGCAGAATAAAAATAAACATTCTTTTATCTGTTACTAAAAAAAAGAAACTTAATAATATCCACCTCAAAAATATGTATTTTAACAAATAGTAAGTCTTTTTGCTTCAATATTTGACCACAAAATTGCACCATTTTAACTGTATTTGTGTCAGCAAAAGAATATCATCAGTACAGATGTTTGCTGTCATATAAAAGGAAAATTATGCATAAAGAATTTTGAAATGGTCAATCATTTTAACTGGTATTTATAGATAGGTTTTGGGAGGTATATTCTCTAAGTATATCCTTTTACCTACCTTTAGCATATTAATTGCTAGTTATGTTGATCCTAACATTTTAGGGTCTATTATCCAGCTCAGTCCAGTGTGTGTTTTGTTGTTGTTGTTGTTTTTGTTTGTTTTTTGTATTTGTTTTGTAATACTTTTGATCATTTAAAGCTATTTTATCTGATTTGCAATTTAAGAATGTGTGTCTGTTATATATTTTTTTTCCTTTACAAATTTATGATTTTAAAATGTATTTTATTTGAGCTGATTTATTACAGGCTCTTTTGGGGGGGATTTTATGGCTTGTGTGGGTATAGAGCCACAAGTGGGATGTTTGCCTTCTACAAAAGCAAAACTTTAATGTCCACTTCATAAATCTGCACACACACACACACACATATACATATATATATGTGTGTGTGTGTGTGTGTGTGTGTGTGTGTGTGTGTGTGTGTGTGTATTTTTATTTTTTCTTTTATTTAATTTTTTACAGTCTTTCATTGTTTTTGGTTGATTTGTTTTGTGGCACTTTTGCTGCCTGTTCTGATCCGTTCTGATTTGTTCTGACATGTCATGTTACTATTTTCTTCATCCTAGTCAGTCGTCTTCTATTCTCGGGGTCATGCTCCACTTTCGCAGGCGGAGGTGACTCTCACATATGGCATCAGTCAGCTGCTTCACTTCACACCAAAGCCCACAATCATGTCGGAAATTAGAGAATTTTCTTATCTAAATAAAAGTTTGACTAGGACGTTTGTTCCTGCATAAACTCTTATTAATAAGAGTAGCAGCTGTAGTTTCTACGTGATGTTATCTGCCTTCGTGTTCCTTCTCTCTCACTTAATTCTACTTTCTTGGACGCAGTCTGTTTCTGAAAAATGCTGTAATTGATATGATCGGTGGATTATTTTATTTTGAAGCTTGTGACCAGAAGCGACGTGTGAGATTTGGTCAAACTTGACGCTAAGTAGAAATGTCCGACTTGTTTCCTGACGAGATCAGCCCGGCTTCTCCTAATAAACCAGATCAGGCTTTACTCCAGGAGCAGCAGGACGGATGTTCATCATCACTTTCCTCATCACGTTGATATCTGACAACTGTCGGTGAGTTTGGACTCCTATCACAGATGTGTTCGTCACAAATGATCCAGTCTGAGCAGGTTGATCTCAGTGTTCAACACAGTTCCCGTTCTTGTTCCTCGTTGCTCTCAAAACTCATGATCATGAAACATTTCAGTTTGAATGCTGTGGGGAGAATTTGAAGATTTCTGTTCTTTCGACACCAAATGTCATATCATGTGAATCCACTTGAGCAGAGAAACAAGTTTAGTCATAGAGAGATGACGTCAGCATGTGTTGAGGGAGTGTGCATCAGAGAAAGAGGAATGTAAAGACCTGCGTTTAAATAGAGCACAGGAAAACACGAGAAAATTCCATTATATTGCTGCTAAACCATGTAAATAAATAGATCTTGCATTACTTTAGTAAAGACTGGCGACCTGTCCAGGGTGTCCCCTGCCTTCGCCCTAAGTCGGCTAGGATAGGCTCCAGCCCCCCCTCCCCCCAGTGAGGATTAAGCGGTGTAGATAGTGGATGGATATGGATGGATTACTTACTACAAGTATTCAGAAAGGTAATTTTATAAACACCATGCGTGTAAAACTATGCTATGAGATGACTTGTTGTTGTAAATATGCGCTATACAAATAAAATTGAATTGAATTGAAATTGAATTAAAAAGTATTCACTTTTCACCCCCAGTTATTGTTTTTAAACATTGAATCATGATCAATTTACTTTTCTGGCAGTTATTTAAAACTAATGACTGTTTCATGTCAAAGGGAAAACAGATTTCTACAAAATAATGTCATTTAATAAAAAAAAATATTAAAGTTTTTTTAAAAAGTGATTGCATAAGTATTCACCCCTTTCAAATCAGTATCTACATGATGCATGTTTGGCCACAGTTACAGCATTGAGTTTGTGTGGATGGGTATCAATCAGCTGTGCACATCTGGACACTAGTTTTACTCCACTCTTCTTTGTTAATCTGTCAGGTCAAACTGGGATTGTGAGGGAAAAGTCCTTTTCAAGTCCAGCCACAGTTTCTCAATTGAATTAAGGTCTGGGCTCTGAACTTGTCTTAAAACAATTTCTGTGTAGGTTTGGTGGTATGCATCAGATCATCGTCTTGCTGGATAACACATTTTCTCCCAAGTCACAATTCTCTTGCGGTCTGCATCAGGTTGTCTTTCAGGATTTCACTATACTTTGCTGCGTTCAATATAGGTTCAATATATACTCTACCTTTAAAAGCCTTCCAGGGCCTGCGTGATGCTGCTGCCGCCATGCTTCACAGTGGGGATGGTGTGTTTGTGATGATTGGCAGTATTTGATGGCCAAGAAGTTCAATTATGGTCTCATCAGATTAAAGAACCTTCCTCCAGTCAACTACAGAGTCTCCCACATGCCTTTTGGTGAAATCTAGTCAAGATTTGAGATGAGCTTTTTTTCAACTGTGGCTTTCTCTGCGCCACCCTTTGACTGGTGAAGAGCAAGCAGCAATTGTTGTATGTGCAGTCATTTCTATGGCAGCAACTGAAGCTTGTAACTCCTTCAGAGGAATCATAGGTGTCTTCAAAAGCAATAAAAGAAGAAAACTTCCAAGGCGGGTGAATGCATTTTATGGGCACTGTATTACAGTAATGGATTCATGATTTATTCATGTGTATACCTGTTTGTATCCTGGGTAGTTTCATCTTTAACAGTGCATTATAAGTCGAATAAAAATATTTTGCAAGTAACCTCTTAACCTGCAGAGTTTTTAACTGTCAAATAAACATAGTGCTGTAAAATGTACTTATAAATTGCAGTGGAGTGAAAGAATCAAGTAGTATTGAGCATAGTAACAGTGAATTGTCAAAAAGCTGATTTGTCTATGGGCAGAATATGAATTAGCAACCAGTCTGATAAATAGAACACTTAGGTTTGAGCATTTGATGCCTTTAACATATTAAAATGAATATCTTTGGGTTTTTAGGTGGTTGGTTGGACAAGACATCACCTTTTTAAAGTTTTTTCATGTTTAACAGACCAAGAGTTTAAATTAATTGAGAAAACTGGCAGATCAGTCAGTAATGGAAATTATTGTAAGTGCAGGCCTAAACAACATTAATGGAGTAGGTTTACTTCATTAATAATCTCTAACTTTACTAAATAAATACAAGTAAATAAATAATAAACCCATAAAATGCAAATCCAACCAAGAAATCACTAAAGAGTTTTACATTCAAATTCAGAATCACAGAAAGACAAAGTACAACAATGTATGTTCAATCGGAGGTTTCACCCTTGTGCCCACACACTGCTCTCGCCTCCCTGCTCCATGTGCCACCCTCTCTCTCTGCAGTGCAGCGGGGCCATTAGGCAGCGGATGCGGCGGGCACTACAGGCTCAATGGTCTCTCCCACCATGAAGGCGGTGGTGGATGCTGTGTGGGCAGTGTGGAGCATCGGGGCCTCCATCTATGACTACATCCACACCAGCGCCATGGAGGAGCGCATCCACGCCCTGGAGAACGTCATCACCATCCACCAGTGTGTGATTGGGCTGCTGTCCGCCGGCGTGTTAGTACTTTTCACCTACATTTTCTTTAAGAAACTGTGAGGACCAGTGAAGCGATGGGCTGGGGTTGACATGGGGGGAGGTGGAGCAACCAGAATCAGTCCAATGTGGTAAAGTTAAGGCAGATAAAGAGGAATTGTTACACTTTGGGTACACTACTAAGGCCTGTAAGCGCTGTGATTGTGCTGTTAATGGTGGGATTATTTGGTTTCCATGGGGGGGACCTAACACATACACAAAGGATCAAGACATGAAGTTACTTTGGGAGGTTTTAACACCACTGCAGTGCCATCATTTTTTCCTAAACCTGTTAGGAAAAAAAACCCTGAGGTCTTTTTCCTCTATCAGCAATGAGGGGCTACAGTGTCTGTTTTTAAAGGTTAATATAACCAGTTTTTTCCTGATTTTATGTGCCAAATTGAAAAATGTGATTCAGTATATTATTTGAATAAATTAGGTACCAAACGTATTAATTGCTCCCTCAAATTTAAGGGTGAAAAAAAGCCGCTGAACTTCTGAAAAAAGCTTTTAAGCCATTGTGAGATGTCATGACGAATTGCAGGTTTTGCAGGCTCAACCTGTTGGGCAAAGTATATCTTGAACACGTTTGAGTATTTTCTCAGGTTAGCTATGCCATACAAAAAGCACCCAGTGCATTTGCAGGAAACATCAGTTTGCCAGTTTGCAATTATTTTTCTTCTGGGAAACAGCTCAAGTAGCTCAGTATTTTCATACACCAGAACATCTGCCAGCCCAAACAGAAACCACGTCACACGCTGTAGTAGCAGTAACTCCAAAACTTCAGCTTGAATCATTTTCTAAAGGGATCATTATTGAAAACATCATCCATCAGGACAACTTCTGCCTTAATTCACATTTTCATGACTAGTTTTAATTTTTGCACTAATTTCTCTCAAAGTCTGGCTGAGATATCAGGAGACGCTAATTTTGCTGAAACTACTGTCTATGAAACAATGACTGGGGAGTGTAAAGGTCTTTTATAGCAGAATGTCATTTCTGTTCTCTAATGAACATCTCTGCCAGTGATTGGAAGAGACCATAAAGTAATGTTCTACGTCCTTTACACTGTCCATGACTAAGCATTTTTCATTTGAGCTTGAATGTCAGATGAGACGAAACACATCCCATAACCCCTTGTAATACATTTTTATAGGTGTACGTGTGTGTTATCTATATTATTAGACTTTAAAAACAAGAATCCACTTATATGCTTTTGCCATTAACTTTAACTTTAATACCTCATGACTTACATTAATGTAGGTGCCATTGCTGTATAAAATGCAACAATTTGAAGTGTCCTTACAAACTGTAAATATATTTAGGTGTTGATGGCCATTGAAACATGTCATAGATGTGCTATCATGTAACACTACAGCTGCTTCTAATTTATGGTTTGTTTCCTAAACGCAAAATTTTGCACCATGAAGGGTGAGAATGTAAATGAGACGATACTTGTTACTGAATGGAAACAAGTATCGTCTCATTTACTTGTTACTGAATAGAAACAAAAAGGAGTAGGTGGTCAGTGGGAGCTATAATTGTATGAGTCCTGGGGTTGGGTGTATATCTCTGTTTATGTGTTATGCTGCTGTAGCCCTTTTCAGACATTGGATACACAACATTGCTGGCTCTGTCAGTCCATTAAAGTAGCGACATATTCATGGCAGTGATGGTACGTGCACAATATTTGCCATACGCTCGAGATTAGACAGACAGCACATTGTAATCTTGTGTGTGCCGATTTGATAATGCGATTACATGCAACTGTGTGAGTGATCCATCTTTTATTGCAACCTTTATAGAAAAGTGACCATTTAGACACACACACACAAAAAAAGAAGTTATCATCGGATTAATGCAGATGAGTGCATGTCTGAAAGGGGCTTAAGCCGGTTAGACCACGAACAGGGAACAACCCAAGAATGAAAGACTGTTTTGTATGTTAACAGCATCAAAGCTCATATTCTTCAAATAATGAATAAATGGAATTTAACAAAACTGGACCTCCTTACTGTATCAAATGCTTTGAACATCAGTCTGTTTATCAAACAGCACAGATTCTTGCACCCAAAAACTGAAATTAAATACAAACTCTACAGCTGCAATGTCGGAGAGAGCAGCTCAGTCAACTCTGAGAAGATTTCTTCTAAATGACGTGAAGCCTGAACAGGAGGCTCATTCCTAATGAACAGCTAACTTCAGATACTATAATACTGCTTTTTTATTTAAAGGCAAAAGAACATTTCGTGAGCAGGCAGAGAACCGGCCTTCTACTGGACCAACATGTGCTGCTTTTTCAGCTTAAACATTTGTTGTTATTATCTGAACCTACAGGCTTTGTTCAACACTACCAGGACCTTAAAGGGCCTCTCTTAAGTGTCCAGTCTGAATTAGAGTGTATTTGGAAGTGAATCTTTCCACACTCTCCCCTTCCAGAAACTTCATGGCTCTCCAGTGGATCTTGGCACAGTTCTCTGGCTGGCCAAGGTGCCCCAGCTCCTCCTGGATGTACTGCAGCCACAGATCTGCACAAAAATAAAAACAAGAGAAAACACTGAAGCTAAAATTGTTTGAAAACAGACTGATGCACAACAAAGATTACTCATATCTCAACACAGTTGACTCTGGGCCTAGAAACCATACGAGTAGTTTGTGGTGGATCCAGCCTCAATTTAAAGTCTCCAAGAATCTATTTTCACCCTCATCTTCTGAACAGATCAGAGTTATGTCTGCTTGAATAACTGTTTAAGTATCATCTGAAGGTTAATTGTTCAGTCTCTTGGTGCAGTTGTTCTATTAACTTGAAAACCTGGCATTTTCTCCTCCATGCCTGTGTAACAGGATACTGTAAATAAATGTTTTTGACTGCCGCTACTTCGCCTGTTGACGTTTGCTCCTTGAAGACATTTAAATTAGACTCACCGTCATCTGTGGTCCCAAACTCCTGCAGCACCCTCTCATAGTAGTCTCTCAGATGGTGCATCTTTGGAGTCTCCTGGAAGAACAAATAGCATTGCTATTGCACTCAGAATCAAAGAATCAAAATTAACCGTCCATCCTGAAGATTTTTTTTTCTCAGAGTTACAAGTCTTTTAAAACAGTTGTATGTGCCAGTCAAACTGAACCATGTAGTCAGTGGCTGTTGTCATTGTAATCCATGTAAAGATTGAGGTTTGCAGCACACAGTAGTTGATATACGTACTTGTTCCTTCTCAATTTGAATCATTCTGGTAAAAAAGGCCTTGGACAAGGGACGGTTTTCTTGTAAGCTTCGAAAAAAAAGAAAATTCCAGTTTAAAATCTACAGTTTCATCACAGGACACTAAGGATCTGCAGAATTTACTTTGCATTCGCAGCTCAGTCATTTTGGGATCAGTTCAACTTTCATATTCCTTTTGTATTCATCATCTAAATTAAGACCTACATGAGCAGACAAAGTTATCTGATGTTACCCTGTAAAGGTCTTTCTGGCTTTCTTGTAGCCTCCAGTGGAGTACGACCAATCGAGGTAGCGCTCTTTCGTCTCCATGGCAACAGCCGCTACTGCAGACAGTAGACCTCTCTGGGAACAAACAAGAGAACAAACTGTCTGCAAGGCTTTTTCAATTCAGAGGCTGAAACACAGTGCACGCATAAAGATGCCGTTAATCGCCCTTGCTTCATCTTTAAAGTGTTTATTATTTGTGTAAACATCGTGAACTGCAGCTGCTTTTCCTGATTTCTGTTTTATCAGGTGGCAGTGCTACAGGTTTTTATTTTATTGTGCCATTCATTTTTGTGTTGCACTTTTAAGATCAGCAACAGTCCTTCCTATTATTAGTAAAAAATGTAGTTCTGGTGTAAACAAATACACAAAGTCATATCTGTACGTGCCAAATGTTTACAAGAAAATCCTTCCCTGTCCCTGAAACACCCATCTAGCTATAAAAAAGAGATATGGGCTGTAATGAGAGCACCCTCTGCACTCATTTCTACTCTGCTGGATTGAGGTGTGTTACCTTGAAGACGGCTTCTGTCTCCTCAGGTCTCTGGTTGTCAGCGCTCCACTGGAACTGCAGCTGCCACAGCGGTAGACTCTCCTTTTAAGACAGACACATGTTAGTTGTATAACCATTTGAATAGCCAGGAGTGTGTACATACTGGACTGGATGCTTGCTTCACTCCTGTTCAAGCTGTTAAACTGCATCACTAATCAGCTACTTATAAAGTAAAGGGTGTGTTTCACCTATGTTTATACCACTGCAAATGTAAGTTCGCATGTTGTTTTGATTGTGCATGAAGTAAGTCCAGACAGACCCTCAACTACTGACTCAGACTTCTGTAGGTCAAGCTAGTACAGACAAGGATTTCATGTTTTATTAAACTGTTTCTCAACATGGTACAGAGGGCTTCATTAGGGATCAGACATATTTTGACTGCATTGCACAAGACCAGTGCTTTTAACTATTACCCACATTTGCAGAATACACTTGCACAATGCAATAATATCTGCAAAAGCTGTGTAAAATGAATTGGAAATTCTTAACAATGAGATACATGTCGTAGGACCTAAATATAGAGATTTTTTTTAAATTCCTTTTGAATTTTACTTAAAAAAATCCTGAATTCAACAAATTCAAACACAAAAAGCACTGGAGCACATTAAGAATTTGTGCATTTGTCAGACAGCCTTGAAAACCCTTCAGGGTTTTTTCCTGCATAGAGGAATTTTCGGCACCACCCAAAGAGGCTTTAGCCAGCGCCAAAGAAAAAGCGCCAAAATGATTTTAGAATTATTTTTTACTACTTTTTTTTTTTGTTTAACCACTTTTGTTAATTGAAGTTTTAATTTACTAATCTTTTCTTAAAAGGCATTTTTGTTTACCAAATAGTCGGAAACAACAGGAAAAAAGAGCAGATTTCTATCAACTAAAGGTAACACAGAGTCACTGCCTTTACTATGCATTACCAATCTCATTGTCCTTTTTCTGTGCTTGGAAAAACCCTGTACATTCATTATTTTTTTTGGCTAGGTGCTGGTGTAATGGATAGCAGATGCCTAAAAGTGTTGTCAGTGTCATTCAATATCTCCATCCACTTTTACTTTTAGACTGAACATGTCAGAAGAACATGCCAAACTTAAATCAGACCCATGCTTACAGAAATAATTACATGCAGAGATTTTTTAAAATGAATCATCATTCAGCAACATTAGCCTGCATCTGAGTGACAAATCACCTCTCTTTGCTCTCAGCTACAAGTTTCCCTCCAGGCCTATTTACTGTATCATTTAGAGAGTGCAATGATTATACAGCATTAAGCAAGATAAAGAATATGTCCACAGTTTCTTCAATAATTTATCTAAACTTCTGTGCCGTACTGTGTAATATTGAAATATTACATTGTTCAACATACCAGACACAAACCCTGGAGGTTTATACAATTTCTCAACACCTCCAGAGAGCGTGTTTCTTGAGAGAAAAGACTTGCATAATGAGCAGCGAGTTGTAATCCCCATACAGCTACTTCTCAGGGTCACAGTCTTGTGAAACCCCCACCACAACAATAACCAGCTGTTCTGCTCACTGGTGTAAAGGCCTGTGGCTGAGGCAAGCCATGTGTATTCATAGTTACACAGCACTATACTATGAGGTGCTTTGGAGCAGTGAGAGAGGAGAAGTGTTTGGGCTTCACAAAATGAAGAAGAAGAAAAGTTGTTAGGTGTGTTGTTTTATTCAAACTACTACGCTGCACTATAGACTCCACTGGTACCTCTGTTACTGCTGCACTTTTTCTTTTTTTCCACCAACAAACACATTCCACTACGTGCAATAACCATTACTACTTCATCCTTGTGTATATAGTCTTCTTTAAAAATAAAAAAAAAAACATCTTCCGTATATAATGTTTTTTTCTCTTGCAATTTTTGCACTGTGTGTTTTCTGTTTCTTTCCTACTTTTTGCACTGGGTGTTCCCAATTATTCTTGCACTGACTGTACACTTTTTTTGGAGCTGTTGTACCAGTGAACTTTCTCCACTGTGGGATCAATAAAGTTATCTTTATCTTTATAAAAACTTAGCTTAATGATGAACAAGAAAAAACACGATGACTACCAAATATCTGAGGTGCTGCAAGTGATTTCTACAGACTATTTCATCATCAACCCACAGCCTGCAAATCTAAGAGTACACAGCAAACCATCCAGTGACTTAAACCAAATTAAGCTAACATGTGAATCTGATTTGAATTAAAAAATAAACAAAAATTATTCACATCACAATTTTCATTACGTATTCACACTGGAAGGCAGCGTTTTTAACCTGTCTTCATTTTTTCCTCCCATATAGGCAGGGGAAGCCACTGGAGGAAATGAATGTGATGGAATAGAGACTAATTGGGCCAAGGAGATGGCCCACTTATACAGCAGTGCTGGTGGCTGCTGTATGTGTGTGCATCCATGTGTCTCCGCTCTCCAAGGACAACAATTATACTGCTACTGTAGCAGCACTGGCGCGCTCAGTGGGATAGTTAATGTGCTCTGAGAACACAGAGGAAATTATTGAACGTAATATGAGCAGATTATGTGGCGACAAACTCTGTGTGTGTGTGTTTGTGTGTACACACGTATATGTATGCGCATACCTTGGGATTAACGTTAGCGAGAGCATCCTGGAAATGCTTGCCCATGTCTCCGCTTCCCAGCTGCATTAGCGTCGGCAGACTCAGACTCCACATTGACACCGATTGGCTATAGCGCTGTGTGGCTGTCATGGCAACACTGGCTGCTCCCTCGGTATCTCCTGACGAGAGCAAAAGCTGCAGCTGGTCACAAGGAGAACATCATTTTAGTTGTTTCAATCCATCAGTACAGTGTCGTGTTACCTTTTTCTTTCTTTACAAGAAAGATGAAAACTTTATTTGAAATCAAAGAGAACGTTAATCCAAGAACATTTCCATCTTCCCGTTTTATTAAATAAATGCAATAAAACAAATATATAGGAATTGGGCGGCAAGGTAAATCGGTGCCTCATAGCAAGAAGGTCACCGGTTAATGTCCCAGTGAGGACACCCGGGATCTTTCTGCTTGGAGTTTGCACGTTCTTCCCGTGCAGTGTGGGTTCTCTCCGGGTTCTCCGACTTCCTCCCACACAGTCAGCACAGGCAGCACGTTGAGGGCAAAGACACTGACACGCTCAACAAACTGATTTGCAGGGCAGCGACACTGTGGGGGGTGCAGCTGAACTCTGTCACAAGAGGAAGATGCTGAGCCTGTGGCCATCAAACTGTTCAACTCCTTTCTCCAAGTATGAGACACCGAGTCAATAGTGTGACCTATTTTTACCTCACCTCTGTCTGTACCTTCATGACCTCATAATTGATAGTTTATATCCTCAACTGTACAACTCAACCTCAACTGTGCTTTAATAGTACAATAAACTAACTTATCACTGTGCAATCGTTCAGCTTTCCAATACTCCAATATACTGGTATATATTAATACTACATTAGTCTGATATATAACTTCTACTGTATATTTTAAACTAATGCTTCTGTGTCTCCACTTTTACACTCAACTCATTTATGTAACTTCTTGCATTTGTGTTATCCATCCATCCATTACCTATACACCGCTTAATCCTACTAGGGTGGCGGTGGGGGGGCTACAGGGCTACACTTAGAGACAGACAACCAAGCACACTCACATTCACACCTACGGACAATTTAGAATCACCAATTAACCTCAACATGTTTTTGGACTTGTAGGAGGAAGCCAGAGAGAACCCACGCGACAAAAAGTCTACTTTAGATCCAGGCGTTTTAGCAAACTGTAGGCCCATATCCAACCTCCCTTTTATTTCTGAAATTCTTGAAAAAGTTGTCGTAAGCCAACTGTATGATTATCTGCATAGAAATGTTCATAAATACTGGTTAAATTCTGGTTTATATACCAGATCATATTTCTCCCGTATTAGCTTCTCTTCATTGGCTCCCTGTGAAATCCAGGATAGAATTCAAAATCCTGCTTTTAACATATAAAACTCTCAATGACCAAGCTCCATTTTACCTTAAAAATCTTATTGTACCGTGTCATCTTAACAGCCCTTCGCTCTCAGACTGTAGGTCTACTTGTGGTTCCCAGAGTTTCCAGAAGTAGAATGGGAGGCAGATCCTTCAGTTATCAGGCTCCTGTCTTATGAAATCAGCTCCCAGTTTGGGTTTGGGAGGCAGACACCCTCTCTACTTTTAAGGTTATGCTTAAAAAGTTCCTCTTTGATAAAGCTTATAGTTAGGGCTGCTCAGGATCACCTGAACTGTCCCTTAGTTATGCTGCTATAGCTTTAGACTGCTGGGGGATTCTAATGATGTACTGGTCTCCTCTCCTCTCCTCTCCTCTCCTCTCCTCTCCTCTCCTCTCCTCTCCTCTCCTCTCCCATACAGTTAGAACCACCACTACAAGTCATTAACCCTGTGTTTCCCCCAAGGTCCTGTGCTTGTTCTCCCTGCGGACATCTCTGGATCTGGAGCTTCACATCCCTGACCTGCAGCCGCTGGCCTCACCGACCCCCAGAATACTTATATTCATATTTATTGTTCTGTTCTATTGCTTGCTATCCATCTGCTATCCTGTTTTCCCCACCCCCTCAACCCCACTCTCACCCAACCACTTGAAGCAGATGGCTGTCTTCCCTGAGCCTGGTTCTGCCGGAGGTTTTTTTTTTTTTCCCTCTCCCTTGGGGGATTCTTGGTTCCTTCCCACCGCTGCCAACAGGTTCTCTGTTTAAATTTGCAAGGTCTATACCTTACTTTTTTAAGCGCTGTGTGATAACATATGTTGTAAACTGCGCTATACAAATAAAATTGAATTGAACTGAATTGTTACATTAACACTCGGAACCCCAAAACCCACCAGCCGGTTTGAAAGGGATGCTTTCTTTTAAATTGCCAAAATTGCACCATTTATCAGTCAGAAACTGTGAAAACAGAAAAGAATATCTGATTTTTAAGTTTCCAGCGGTGCTTAAATGAGTCTGCGGCATAACGTACTGTATGCTGTAACGTACTAACCAAATTGTGAAAATCTAGTTTTTTTCATTAAAATTATGTGTCTTCTGAAAGAAAAATCACTAAAAATGATTGTGTAAAAAACTTGTGGCACTCCTTTGTGTAACCAGGAAGCCATTAGTGACGTAGCTGTAACCAACAGCCACATCAAAAAATTCTGGGACTGTATGTATGGAAACAAATTTAAAATCTAAATAGTAAAATATCTATAGTACATGGAGTTAGCATTTGTCCAGTATCGGTAACGCCTGTATGAACTTTTTCAGTATATTTAATTATTTTTAATTTCAATTTTCAATTCAATTTTATTTGTATAGCGCATATTTACAACAACAAGTCATCTCATAGTGCTTAACAAAGGCAGAAACACCCAACAATCCAAAACATTTGGATTCCCTATACCTTCAGCACTCTGCAAGCAGTCCGCAACAGTGGGAAGGAACCGAAAACCCCCGCAGGGGAAAAAAAAACCTCCGACAGAACCAGGCTCAGGGAGGGACGGCCATCTGCCTCGACCGGTTGGGTGGATGTGGGATGAATTATACAATTTAGTGTACAGTTAAACAAGTTATTAGAAGTTATTGTCCTTTTGTTCCTCCATTTCAAATGGACCAATGAAATATTCCATTTCGTAGTTGGTGGAGGTAACAGGAGGCATCATGGTGGAGGTAACAGGAGGCATCATGGTGGGGGTAACAGGAGGCATCATGGTGGGGGCAGCAGGATGCAGAAGGTGAGGCCAGTGGCTGTAATTCAGGAGCTTAAGACTTTTATATGTTAGAAGCAGGATTTTAAATTGGATCCTTGATTTTACAGGAAGCCAATGGAGAGAAGCTAATACAGGAGAAATATGATCTCTTTTATTGGTTCCTGTCTAAACTCTGGCTGCAGCATTCTGTATAAGCTGGAGGTTTTAAAGACAATTATTAGGACATCCTGATAATAAAGAATTACAATAGTCCAGCCGAGAAGTCATAAATGCATGGACTAGTTTCTCAGCGTCACTCTGAGACAGGATGCTCCTGATTTTTGCAATATTACGAAGATGAAAGAAAGCTGTCCTACATATTTGTTTTATATGGAAGATAAAGGACATATCCTGGTCAAAAGTAACCCCAAGGTTCTTTACTGTGGAACTAGACGCTAAGACGATGCCATCTAAAGTAACTATCTGGTCAGATAGTGAGTTTCTGAGGATAAATCTAATATAGAAATTTAACATTAGCTTTTCTTTTTGTGACATATGGCATTATGACGTATGGCATTGTTAGACGATGGCAAAGACATGTGTGAGTGCTGTCTACTTCTAACCATGGTTTTGCTTTTTACATAGAGGTGCAGAACTTTATATTGCAGTGAAAAATGAGCCCACAGTGAGTAAAAAATATGACAGGAGCACAAAACACTCAGGAAGCCACTTTGTGTTACGAGGGTCAATTTCTCTCATGCTAAAATATTTTCTGTTCTTAAATGTGAGCAACTATAGTATGAGCCCGTTTCCACTCAGGTATAAATAAAGTGTTCCAATTCTGCCCTTTCCTCCTTTGTTTGAGTACAGTTCAGATAATTGACAGGTCATCAGATGAACTGAAGACAGGCTGAAGGACCCCTGTGATAACATGATTAATCTAATCAGATTCTAATCTAATCTAATGCAGACTTTAACTTACCCAGTTCTTGTAATAACTCTCTTTCAGCAGTGAGGAGTCGTGAGCGTGCTGCAGGACTCCCAGCAGCCTCTCCTGCCTCTGTGACACAAACATACAAACTCATGTCAGGTTTTACTCCTCAAAACCACTAAAACCACTGATATTTTTCAGCATGCATTTTTAATTTCTAACCTAAGGACCAAACAAGATAGCACAGTGACACAGTAGTAAGGAGGAAAAAGTTAAGACGAGTCAGTCACTTTTTCCTTCAGCTCTTCGACGTTGGTTTTCCTCCTCAGCCTTTCCAAGCAGAACGCCACATAGCAACTCCACATGGACTCTAGAGGGCAAAGCACAGCAGTGGTTTCCCACTGACTCATCACGATGTCAAGAAGAGTGCAAGCAGTGAATTAATATAGGAAACAGCTGACCACTAGTTGTTTATTCACTCACTAACTAACCAACATTTGCTAATCAAGATAATGCAATGAAGTTGGAAGCTATTAAGGGACCCCTAAGTTGATATTATTTCATCCAACTGTTTTTTTTTTTTTAACTCTGACATTCAGTGAAAAGACACTGATTTTAAATACTTAATTTCCATACTTCACAAGTTCCCTCTAATTGAATGTCTATGACAAATATTTCTCAAAACTCAAACAGCGAAGTCAAACCTCAACAACTGCTACTGTGAATGTGTTCTCGGTGTATAAATGAGCTCTAACCAGAGTTGAGGCTCTTGATTCCCTCCTCATAGACCTGGCAGCACCGCTCCTCTCTGCGGTTGATGTCTGAAGCTCGGCCTTTGGCAGTCTGCAGCTCCGTGCCTGCCCCTGGAGCATTCAGCTCCCTCTTCGCCATGAAATCCCACGTAAAGCTGTCCTGTGTGTAGTTGGTCTGCAAGCTGGAGACAAAGACAGGGAAGGAGGTACTGCTTAAACATGAAGCTCTGTTTGAGTTTAAAAAAATATAAATGTGTGTGAGACACCGCTAAAAAGAAACTATTTTGTACTTAAATCTTAAAGGTCAATCGTTTTATTTTTCACAGCCAATAATAATAACGATTATTAGAGATCAAAGACACCGATAACCTATATTTGGATCTGATACACATTTGCAGGAAAAATTCATATTTTGGTGTCAAAATTTTGAATAACACAAACTTTAACATAAAACTTCACTGAAAAGCCTTTCCTAATGTTTTACATATGGTTAATTTTTCAACTTTTCAATATTCATTCTTTTGTGCTGATGGAGTATTGCTTGTTGTGTGAAATTGTTTGACACCAGAGTGGGGAATACAGACACGGAGAGGTGACTGCATCAGAGTCAAAGTAGTTTTAAATTACTTTATTTTATCGCAAATCAGTTACAAAAACTAAAATTTAAAAATGCTGAATTTCTAGTGTGATAATCCTCTGGTACACGTGTCTTACTCTTGGAGGATGAAGTCCTGGAGTTCCTTGGTGAAGTCAAAGATGGCTGCTATGTTCAGAAGTGAGATGACAAATTCTGCTTCTGTAGGACGAAAAGATTGTGGGACAACATCAAACCAACATTTGTTGATACCAGAGTTCAGTTTGGAATAAGAACTGATCGCATTAAAAGATAAGTTATCAAGACTAAAACTCTGTGTCAAATATAACAGGTGCAGACTTTGGTACTTAGGATTTTCTCACAGATATGATACTGATGCCACCCAGCCTTTATGTTTAAATACATTTTAAATTATGATAGCACACTCATGACAATGTATAAATGTCACATTTAAATATAGGTTTAGGTTATTAAGTCTTTTCTGTTTTTGCAAAGGCCTGCGCATAAATTTTCAAAGTTTACCTTTGATTTTCACCGTAGCATCTCTGTAGACAACCTCAGCCAGTTTACCACTCAGGACCTCTGGAGAGAACTCATATTCACCCTGGAAGGTGTAAAAAAAAAAAAAAAAAAGAAAAGAAAAAAAAAGCAGGTACTCCGACAGTGAGTACAAAAAGTACAGCCTCTGTGAATGTGAGTATTAACTTGTTGCATTTCCAACTGTTTGTGTTCAGTTTGTTTCACACTTACCAGATCCATCTCAGCCTTCTCCAGGTCTTTCTGTTGCTTCCTCAGTTTCTCACTATGCAGCAGCTCCATACGGAAATACTAGTACAGAGTTGAATTTACAAAACCATGTCTGAGACGTACAGTCACACTCATCAAATTCAACAGCTACATTTTCACTCAATTTAATCTGTGATCTTGGCATAGTTTAAGCAGACAAGTGAACAAACTCTTGTTTACAAAGTAAAGAGACTGACTCCCTTTTGATAAAAGACAAATATATTCTGAATCTTTTACCTCCTGGTAGACTTTCTGGTTGTTTGGGTGGAAACGTAGCGCCCTCAGAAACAGGTGTCTGGCACTTTCAGAAGAATTTCTATCCTCCAGCTCACTCTTGGCAGCCATGATCCACAGGGCTAAATATAGAAAAGTAAAGACAAAGTTACTATTAGCTGCTTTTGATTTGTTCATCTCCCAGATTGCATTCAAAAACCGGAATTTTCTGCTATTTCATGTTTCTTAAAGCACATTTTAAGACACGAAACATCAGCAGTAGTAAATGGGACTCTGTAAAGCACAGAATTCTGTACCTGGTTTGTCCGGATGGATGGCAAGCATGGACGAGAACACCTTGCTGATCTGGCCTTTGGTGGCCTGATAAGTGAAACCAAAGAGAAATTATTGTTGGAACACAAAGCATACAGTCTGACTTATCTGAAGTGAAGGCAACTGATGAGGTCTTTACGTACCCATTTCTTACAGAAAGCAACATGTGAGAGCCACAGCTGCACATCATCCTGCGGGAAAACAAGACATCTGACTCGTTCAAGCTTTCAATCATTTAGTGAATTTATACTAATTAGTAGGGATGAGAATCGAAAACCGTTTCTTTTTTAGAACTGGATCCCAGTGATTCGATTCTTGGGAATCGTTTGTCTGCCTCCTTAGCGATTCTGCTTATCGGTTCCGCTTACGTCTCCGTGCGTGATGACGTCATACGCACGAAGTGTGTTTTGGTTCAGAACTTTCCAGCATGGCGTCGAGGCAGAAGCACTCCAAAGTTTGGCTGTATTTCACGCGAAAAGATGACACCGGGGCTACTTGCAACACCTGCAAAGCATTGATTTCGTCAAAGTGGGGAAATACTTGCAATATGCAGAAACATTTGTCCACCCAGCATGCAATTCATTTGCGTAAGTGTAACGTTTTTGACACGCTACTTAGCGAAGGCGAGATTCATACAGGCAAAAGCAGGAGCGGAGCCACAGTCTCAGCGTCATCTGCTTTAAATACTGAAGGTAACGTTTCTCTCCTCCAGGTCCTCCTGTCTGCTGTGTAGATGTTAGCGCCATGTTAATCCCCTTTCATTGTATAAATACTCTCCATCTCCTTAACTTACATTTAGATGACGATGACTGCCAGAGCCTTGCTCGCTCAGAGGCTGGCTCTCACACTGGCTCAGAGGCTGCAGCTGGTAGCTCTCGTGCACCTTTGGCAGCCCCGTTCATCGAGGCAGGGAAGAGTAAAATGACAGAGGCGAAGATAAACGAATGTCACCAAGCTGTGACCAGATTTTGGGTCAAGTTGAATGCAAAGCACTGTAAATATTCCCAAATGTTATATTTTGATTGTATTTCCTAAGGACCTTCATATCTTGCAAGGTACACAAAAGCTGCATGATGCCTCTAGGCTCCTCTACATTAGAGAAATAACTAATCTAAATGTTTGTTTCCTAAGGTTACATTATTAGTGCATGGATATGCCAAATTTTTGTCCAAAGGTGACAATATTAAAGAGTTAATGCAAACAGAACTATTTGTATTATTTTATTTCACACTCAATGAGAATCGATAAGGGAATCGATAAGGAATCGTATCGATAAGCAGAATCGTTAATGGAATCGGAACTGCTAATTTCTTAACAATTCCCATCCCTACTAATTAGAGACATTTACACACTTCAAACATTAGACGATGCCATCTGTTGTCCTTTGAGTAGAATAGAATAGAATAAGAATACTTTATTGATCCCCCATTGGGGGAAATTTCCATGCCACAGCAGCATCCAAAAATATATAAAGTACAAGAAAATTACAATAATTAAGTAATATGCATCCCCGGTGTTCGCAAAAGCAGGTCCAAGACCCCACCATCTCCGTTTGGGCAGTCCACATACTGGCTGAATGTAGGGAGAGTGGTAGAGAGCGATGTATAATTTAAGTCTCCTGAGATAACAATCAGAGACTGAGGGTGTGATGTTTGCAGCTGGAACACTGAACTATGGATGAGTTCACAGGCTGCAGCAGCATCAGCTAAGGGGGGGATGTAAACTGTAATCGCCAGGACGTGCAAAAACTCCCTCGGCAGGTAAAACGGCCACAAACCAACCGCCAGCAGTTCATCATCCTTTGTGCTGCGCTGCTCTTAAACACTAATGTGCCCAGCATTACACCATCATCTCATCTTTTGGGAAGCCAAAATACAAAATGTTTTTTCGGTTTAGGGAGAATTGAATAATTACATTATTACATTCTTCCTTTCAGTGGACTAACAGAGGAGTTTAAAGTCACCCATTCCAGAGAGGTGATGATGTACAGAGACTCCGCAGACACCAAAGTTGCAGCAGCAGGAATCCTCGTGAAGACCGGGAGGAAGTGGGGAGCGCAAGAAGCCGTCACTAAAGCTGAAGCGCAACTAAGGCATAACGTGCTGCTGGGCTCTGTGGCAACGGGAAGAGCAGGTCTTGGTTTCCTTCCGAAGCCACATTTCAATCTAGCCCGTGGAGAGTGTTGACTGATCCAGGAGGAGATAGGAGCAGAGGTGAAGGAAGAACGCCGCAGTAAACTTGTCGGTATGTCCAAACAAGAAGCGTGGACCAGGTGGGAGCAGGCAGATTCCCGCAGAATCACCTGGGCAGAGCTCTGAAAAGCAGAACCATCTCGCATAAAGTTTCTCATCCTGTCGGTCTATGGTGTCCTCAAAAGCCCGGCCAACCTACATATCTGGGGACTGGTAGACACTCCCGAGTGAAAGCTGTGCCAGAAGAGGGGCACTCTGGAACACATCTTGAGCTGCTGCTCAAAAGGGGGAGGGGTGGTACCACTGGCGCCACAACAAAGTGCTGAAAGCGTTGGCAGAATCCATCTGCACAGTGATCCAGCACAGCAAGACCCAGGTAGCTCCCAAACAGTTAATCACCTTCATTAGAGCAGGGCAGAAGGCTCAATACCACCAGCCCAACTCTACAGGGGGACTCCTCACCTCCACTTGACTGGCAGCTTCAAGTTGACCTTGGAAGACAACTCAAGTTCCCTGCCAACATCACAACCACTTCTCTCCATCCGGACGTGGTACTAACATTGGAATCCACTAAACAAGTGATTATCATGGAACTGACAGTCCCCTGGGAAGGACTGCATTTGAAGAGAGCCACCAGAAACATCTTAGAGGCCAGAGACAAGGCCTCACGGTGGCTGTGGATCTGTAGGGGGGATCGGTGGAAACAACATGCCACTTGGACACAAGCCGGGAACTGATCACCCCCGGCTGGGTCGCCCGGATGAGGGTGTAAAAAGATTAAAGACCCGAAACACCCTCTGACCCCGGGTACTCCACTGATGAAGTGTCCAAGTCACACCAGAATGTGCATTAAAACTGTTGTAGCCATGTTTGTTGGCAAAAAGCATCATTAGTTGTATTACTTTCCAGTAATGGTCTAGTGATGCATTTTTAAAAATATGATGCCAATTTAAAGAAAATAAGTTTGACTTAAAGTGTTTTAGTGAAGTCAAGGCAGGAGGTCTTTCAGGGGCTGAATCTAATGTGTTGATGTTACGAATGAGGTACTACACTTTCAGTACACAACACTGTAAGTAAATGTAGGTGTATAAATGCAGTGGATACGGTACCTTCCACTTATTTGTAGATCTTCTGAAGATACTATTGATTCTGTGGATGATGGGGAACTCAATCTCCTCTCTTTTGAACTGGTAGTGTATGTGCTGAAAATGAAAAGTTAAGCACAGTTAAACAACATTATCTACATCATATGCCTACAGTAAGTACAGTTAACCAAAACATAATGTTTTTCTCTGCCATAACCTGAATCCAATCCAAAGTAAATACAATTTTAATATAAAATGAGTCATTGTGTCTCTTTAATTTATTTTTTTTTAACCACAGGATACTTACTGCTCTTCTCTTCTTTATCAGCTCTAAAACGTTGATTTCATACTGTAATTAAACAAAATTCTGAGTTAAGCCTTTTTAACTTTGCTTCAATCCAGTATAGAAATGTTGAATGATAAGGGCCCCCCACATACCTGAATGTATGCGATGAAGTCCTCCTTCTTTACGGCTAGCCTAGTGAGCTTGTATTCCATGGCTGTTATTCTTTTGATGATTGATCTAAAATAGAGAAAAATAACACGGTTTTGCTGAAAATACTTGTATAACCATACTGCAGGGAAAAGAGCAAAAGTAAACATGGCAATACTGCCACAACAAATACAAACACAACTTTGGACATTAGTTCACAAGAATGAGTAAAGAGAAAGACAATGAAGAACCTGGCTATTTCAAAGTCTATTTTATTTATATTAAAGTCTACTAGTTCAACAATTTCCCTGACGTTTGTACCGAAGGGATCAATAAAGTTTTATTCTATTCTATTTCACAGTGGCTGCTCCTAATCTCTGCAACAGTTTAACCTTCATGTGAGATCGAATCTGCTAAAGACCCACCTCTTGTCTTTAGCGTTAATTTTAATTTGACACCCTGACTTCATCCCTTATTTTGTTGTCTTCTAGTTTCTATTATTGTATTGTCCTTTTAATCAGATTTGTCTTTTAGCTGTGTTTTATTGTGTCTTGTGGTTTGTCATTTTAACTGTATAGCTGTCTGATTTGACTCTTGTTGTTTTACATGTGCTTTATAAGTACATTTGACCTGACTTGACACTACACCATACTTCAAAGTTAGGTAATCTGTTCTACAGTGATTTCAGTGATTGTGTGTGTGTGTGTGTGTGTGTGTGTGTGGTGGTAATTTTTTGATTCACAGCTATGTGAATCTAAAAATTAGAAACTATGGATCAAAACATTTACCCATATGCTCCAAAATCAAAAGTCATCACAAGCGTTCTGTAGGAGCATCTGCAGTGTTAGTTTCTAGATAACATCTGCCTTTCTGTTATTCAGCTTAAAGAGCAATGTGTAAATTCACAAATCAACACTGAGCTCAGATGTACAGTTTTATTGCCACCCTTCCATTGTTAGGTTTTCTTTTGGGTTTTTTTTTTTTTAGGTTCTTTTATTTTTTTCGTTGGGGGGGGGGGGGGGGGGTCTATTAATAGGATGGCAAAATATTAATAGGATGGCAAAATACATGTTACCATGGGGTGTTTCTCCCTAATAAATCCCTCAGTTTTCCACTTCTTTGCCAAATAATGTCAAAACCAAAACATTTCTCAGTTGAGAGCTCTTCTCTGTGAAATTGTCTTGTTCAACTGGGCTCACTTAGTTTTTGCTTTGCTGCTCTAGCGAAGGACAGCAACAGAAACCTTTGAAAGCTGTCTTACTTGACTTCTTTCTTGGTGAACAGTCCCACTCTCTCCAACTGCTCCAATTCAGGGATTCTGTCCTCGATCCGCTGCTGAACGATCTCCGCCATCTTGTCGCCGCGGCCGTTACGGGATTAAGCCCGACTGCTCTTTGATAGAGTTAAACCTAATTATATTATTAACTTTACAACGAAATAACGCAACACCGTTAGCGACCGTGTTGTCTCTCTCCCTTACACATGTATGGAGGTTGATCCTTCCGGTTCCGTCTGCAAATAGGTCCGACGGGAAACACGAGATTAATCCAAAATGACTCCACCGGTTCAAAACAAAAACTTACAGCATGTTTTCGGCCGACACTCACTATATTTAAGACATATAATATAATATAATATAATATAATATAATATAGAATAAAGTCAATAGTTCAAATTTAAAATAGTTAACAATTAGGGAAATTCATTTCAGTCTCGAAATTTTAATCATTGCAATTTAAAACCCATTTATAATTATTGTATACTACCTACGTGTATTTGATTTGACGGGTTTTTTTTCTTACAATATCATTTGCAACCTGTTATCGACGTTTTCTTCACTTAAGTCGTTTTTATCCACACTTACCGAAGTTGTGCAGTTGGCTATTACGCTCATTGATATACTTATTTTCTATAAGTTTATGTTAATATAAAACGCACATTTGATGGATATCTTGTAGGAACTGTGCCATTGAAGTAAAACACAATAATAATTTATTTAAATATTTTAATTGTTGCCTGTAACATCGTGTACCATACATACCACAAAAAGTCACTCTGCACTGGTAATTAAAATTTTAGTAACAAAAGTAACATAAAAGATTTTTAACATTCAGGATATCAGATTCTTTAATGTGCATTGTTGATTTATTACAAAATGTAAGGTAATGTAAAATGTAAAATAAGGTCAGATGGACGGTGCTCGTGACATGCATGACAGATTGTGCTTTAGACTGTAAAGTGTAAAACGTCATGTGAAGGAGAAAGTTGTACCTGCAGGATCGTCTTGATATGAATGCTGATAAACTCGATTTCCCGCAAAATCGCAGAAAGCGAGAGCGGGTTGTATGTCGTCTCCGGAGGGCAGCAGCCAATCAGAGCGCTGGATTATCTCAGGTCGTCTCCTATTGGCTGACAACTGACCAGTGCTCTGTTGTTCAGTACAAATTGAAGGAAACCACATCGACAATAAATTAGAGATAGATTGTCAATAATTTGACCCTAAATATCTAAATCACCTCCGATATCAAACGATATATGTGACAGGCGAATGCGGGAGAACTCCGGGTGTGCGGAGGTTTATTTTCAAGTAAACCATGCTAGCATTGCTAGCTAACTAGCCAGCGTCTCGTCGCCTCCTCTTCATGGGTTTCTGCTGTTGAGTCTGCCAGGCTTGTGCTAGAGCCAGCGAGGCTATCAAATTAATGCCATCAGCCAGGGTGGGTTGCCTTTACTACCCTCAATATTTACGACATGCCGACTTTGGGATTTTCGTCATCAGTAGCTTGAACAAGCGAACGAATCCTGCGCTGAAATGCCAGGCTAGCTAGCATGTTAGCATTGTGCTTTTAGGTGAGCTAGCTAGCTCGACTGCTAACGCAAGTATTTGCATGCTGGCTAAGCTAACTTGTTGTATACTCAGTACTTGTTCTGAAATAATTTGTTTTTTAACCCGTGCTGTTGTCTCATTCGCAGAACTCAGGTCATATTATGAGTGGGGCGAGTTGCAAAGCTAACGGCGCTGTGTACCCTGCCTCATCAGCAATGATGAACTCTGTAAAGAAGCCGAAGATGGAGCAGATTCAGGCCGACCATGAGCTGTTCCTACAGGCCTTTGAAAGTGAGATTTCACCACTCCTCACTTTGTAATCCAACTTTTCTGTTATGGTAACACGAGGAGCTTTTCAGTGCTTTCAGTCAACATTTGTCCCGCTCAAGTTTACCGTTTCTCATTTTGTTTTTCAATATCTTGTTTTGATTGGCAGGCCTTTAGTTTAATTGGAATTCCAAAGGGACTCCTACATATAGTTTGTTTTAACTAAAAGTTTACTATGTTTTCTGTATTCAGGCAGACATGATCAGACCGGAATCATAAAAATAGCACGTATATGTTATGCTTATTTTTTAATTTGATTGGATGTTTTGCCCTAATCAGCCAACACCCCTCTTTTTGGACATGTGTATCAATAATATGGAGGCATTTCTCAGATGTTGACACACAGAAACTGAATGACGAGACTCATGGTCGGGCTACTGTTGTTGAGCTCTGGATTTTAGTGTGTTCTTGGAGTAAGTTGGGAAAGTTATTGACATAATGTTGTGTGATCATATCTAAAATAAGGCTTCTTTGACTTCTAGAACCAACTCAGATTTACAGATTTCTTCGCACAAGGAACTTGATTGCAGTAAGTGAACTACTCTACATATTTCTGATTCATTTAACTGCCTTAAACTGCTCACTTAAAATTGACTGCTTTGTTTTTGTTCCGCCCCTTTTTAGCCCATATTTTTGCACAGGACGCTCACCTTCATGTCTCACAGAAATGGTCGATCAAATGCCAAGAGGTATGGCATGTAATGATGTGTTTTCATTTGTGCTATATACAAAGGATTCCTTTTGTTTCACACAAAGATGCATGTACCAGTTAGTTTTGAACCCCTGACTTTGAATAATTCCTTCCAGGAAAACATTCAAAGTGGATGATATGTTGCAGACAGTGGAGAAGATGAAGGGAGAGCAGGATTCTCCAAGGTATCGAGAGTTGATGTGTAACTTTTTGTTGTTTGATAGTTTGAAGGGTTAAAAATAATTCATATTGAAACAATTCGTGTCTCTTAAGTGTGCATCTATGAATACATTAGTTCATTATTAAAATCTTGTTTACTCAACTATTCAAGTTGATGTCACCCAGTTTCACCTGTACATCTTTTTTGTGGCTCTTCAGCTTGTCTTCACATTTACAGTTAACCTTCACTGGGTTCTTCCATAAGGATGGTAAGCACAGCTTTGTCTTCATCAAGTGTTCATGTTTCGTATATTCATTGTAAATGGAAAAGGAAAATTGTAGTAATTGATTTATTTTACTTACAGTCATGCTTAGACTGTGTTGTGTTACCACGACACCACCCAGCTACAGTTAACAGCTAATAACATGCTAAACAATTATGCTGAAGCAAGCTTTCTGCCTAAAAACCAACTTGCAAACACTCTTATACATGTGAATGATAATGAGGGAACATTTTATGCTTAAAAATAACAGAATGATTGATGTAAATTCTTCTTGTTGCCATACAGAAAAGCCATCTCAGAATTCAGAAAATGAACAAAATTCCGTGTCTTTAGAGGTGCTACTTGTCAAAGTCTGCCATAAAAAACGCAAGGTAAAGTAAAATATCATTGAGCCAGTCACCCACTTTAGCAGACGGTAATTGCATCTGCTGTCATTAACTTTTGGTTATGTTTAATTCTTCTTTCAGGATGTCAGTTGCCCGATAAAGCAAGTGCCTACAGGTAAAAAGCAGGTGCCTTTGAATCCTGACAGTAACCAAACCAAGCCTGGCTCGTACCCTTCCTTATTGGTCTCCAGCAACGAGTTTGAGCCCAGCAACAGCCACATGGTGAAGTCCTATTCGCTTCTGTTCAGGGTGTCACGCACAGGGAGAAGGGATACAAATGGTCTGGTCAATGGCGAGGCCAACGAGAACATTGGTAGGTAGTCCTCATTTTAAGTGTTTCATGCTCTAATTCTGACTAAATGGAGTTTGTATCACGGTGGAAGACTTAATTTTGCAGTTTGTTATTAGATTAGCTTATGGGATGCAACAGTCTAGATGCATCATTAAAAAAAGCAGTGTAAAATGTACCTGAAATGGTCCCTGGTTGGGATGTGAAATGTTTCACTCTATTTTTTTATTTTTATTTTTTCCTGCAAAGATGTAACGGATACTCCCAGTAGAAAAAAGAGAAGTTCATCCCATAGGGAGGAGGGAGAGACCACAGAGACCTATGTTGCACAGATGACTGTCTTTGATAAGAACAGGTAAGGTTTTGTGGTTTAATACATAAAAGATTTCCTTTTTTCTGTCCTTGCTGGCGTTACTTCTTAAACGTGGGCTCTGATTTCTCCCTTGTAGGAGGCTGCAGCTGCTGGATGGGGAGTACGAGGTGTCAATGCAGGGGATGGAGGACTGCCCTGTGAGCAAGAAGCGAGCCACGTGGGAGACCATTCTTGATGGGAAGGTAGGCTGGCTGTCCAAGTCTGTGAGGCGTGTGTTACTTTATTTGTCCCATTAGACTTTTGAACACTTTAAATTGTGCTCTTAACTTCACAGTTTTTTTTCACTATGTATTGCTGCCCCCACAGAGACTGCCACCATTTGAGACATTTTCTCAGGGACCCACATTGCAGTTCACGCTGCGTTGGACAGGTGACACCAGTGGAAAGTCCACTGCCCCTGTAGCCAAACCTCTTGCTACGCGCAACTCAGACAGCTCCAGTCCTATGGAGACTAGAACCAGCAACCACCGAACTGCCCTCATGAGTAAGTCCAAAAACAAAACAGGGTAGCTCAAACTTTGTTATAGGACAGATCTGAATAATGTTTTGTGGTGTTGAAGATTTCAGTCAATGTTCTTGTATGAAACCATTAATTTTGCAAACCCTCAATTATACTTTGGATTGTATTTAATTTTATGTTACATTTAAGCACAGGAGGTATAAAACATCCACAGATGAGGAAGGCTGAGAAGGGGACACACCTTCTGAGTTATTCAAAGTACTGTGAAAGTGTTTGGAGCGAACACCAAACAAGGATATATTATATGAGCAGATTGTCGGAGAAAAGCTGAATGGGTCATGGTTTTGGATTTTTCACTCACTGTGATAACAGTGTGGGATGGTCTATTTGTAACTCAATCTGGCAGAAAGCACTGTGTGAGTCATAACTGTTGAGTCCCTTTCAGATATGCAATTCAATCCATACATATGCAGGAAACTGTACATATTCCTGTTAGATTTGAACAAGACTATGAGTCATTTTTTCTGCCACAATGGCAGTCACAGCAGCATTCTTACGAGTAACGTCTTCTCTTTTATTTACCATGTCTGACCATCCAACATACTGTTTTACATACATCAAAGGAGGAAATTACCTCCATTATTGAGTCTTTACCTGACATGTTGTCATTTTTCATTTGGGCTGTATGAAGCAGAAAATCTGCACTGAAAATGTT